TAGGAATTTTAAAAAAAAAAAGCCAGGTCTGTTGCACTGTGGAGCATCACATAATGAGGCAATTTTCCGAAAACCAGTTTGGGGATCTAAGCAATAGTTTAATTTACGGTGTGGCATTTTATAGACAAGACCGAAATGAAAAACACATAAAACTCAGTTACCTGCATCTACCTTGTTTATCTTTTTAAAATTCCTATTCCTATTCTAATTCAGTGATTTATTTTAAGCCCGTAGCATGTTGATTTGCGGGGAAAGGATGGTAATCAGATGTTTTTAGCTCGTGCAGGCAAAACGCGGCGGTGGAGACGCGTCCTTCCGGTCTGCACACGCCCTCCCACGTGTTCACCTGTGTGCCATAAGCTAATTGTTTGCAACGGAAATGGGGTCACTTGAGTCCTAGAGCTCGACCTGGTAATTTATCTTAGACATTAGTCGATGTGGAAAGGAAACTCCAGGGCGCCAGTTCCACGTGAAGATACCCAATAAGAACTGAGGCAGTTCCTGTGAGCGGCCCCGCCGGCCCGCCTGTGCCCAGGAAGCCGCGCGCTAGGCGGCCGCTCCGCGTGACTCTGCTCTCGGTCCCCAGCGGCTTTCCCAGGAGGGTTCCCCCGGACGGATGTAGGACAGACGGCGTGCCCCGGGCTCCTCAGGCGGCTCTGTCTGAGGAAAGCCCTGGGGAAGAAACCAGGGCGCTGGTTCGGAAAGTAGTGTCCGTGGGACGGGAGGCTGAATGAACGAGTGGGCATTTTTGAGTAATACAAGTTTTTCGAAGAAAAGGTGTTTTAAAACCGCCTGCTGAGCGCTCCCGGCTCCCTCCCCCCAGCAGGGGGAGTCGGCCTGGGCAGAGGCCGCGATGGGGGGTCCCGGGAGGGCCGGTTATTCCGAGCGCCGGCGTCTGTTCGCCGCTCGCTTGGCTCTCTGCTTGGAACTGTTTGAAGCTGCTGAAGTCCTGCTACGGGACTTGCCGGAGCTTCGAGACGACTTTGGACTTGAGTCGTAAGCGTGCGTTTTCCTCGCGTGCGGCCTGGTGGCACGTTTCCGGGACCACCTGTGTGATAAGAAATGAAAAGGCACCGTTATGACCGTGGGCTCCTGGGAGTTACCTAATCGTCCAGGGTCCCTGTTCAGAAACTGTCACATTTCAAAATGTCACGTGAATCACCATGAGTAGGAAATTTACTGTCAGTGTGGTTCACCCCGTTTCGGGAGAAGCAACTCGAAGGCGCGGCACCCCACCCCGCCTCCCCCGGGCGTCTGTACGTCCCCTTTGCACAGACGCCTTCGATTCCGTGAGAGAACCCAGGGCACCGCCTGCCCGGCCCCCGCGGGGCTGGTCCTGCTGAGGGCCCAGGAGCTGCGGGGCCGCTCGCGCTCCGGAAATGATGAATGGCGCCGGTGACCCTCGTGAGGGTACCTGGTGCCCCGCTGAGGAGGAAGATAAACCAGCCCTCACCACGGAGAACTCACAAATTACAGCGAGCAAACGTGTTAACAGCCATTAGGAAGCCTAATCAGAGCTGTTAAACAAACAATTACGAGCTGTCATGTAAAACGCACCGTTGAGGAGTGGCGGGGCCTGTTCCGAGCGTCAGGAGGAACCGATTCCTTAGGGAGGGCCGGGCAGGCGGACTCGACACCTCCCCCAGCAAATCCGCTTCCTGGGCCTGAGTCCTGTGGTCACAGCCCTGTTCCCAGCGGGGTGCTTACACCCTGAGGTTTTTTCAGGGTCCCATTACTATCGAATCAGAAATTACAGGTTTCTTCAGACGTGGCGAATTGTTATAAGCAGCGCTTCCGTAAAGGGCCGTGGAAACGTTGCCGGAATCGACTAGGAAAGTGGAGACAAGCTGCGCTTTGTGTTTGGGGGGGGTCCCCCCAGCCGGCCCGCGAGCCTGGCTGTGCTCGGCGACCCAGCAGCGTCAGCCGCACCCGACGGGCGCTCGTCACACATACGGGGCCGTGGGCCTCCCTCCAAACCCACAGAATCAGAGCCTGCGTTTCAATCAGCTCCTCGGACCATTTACGTGGATGTTCACACTTAAAAGAAGATACCCGGGTGCCAAGTGCCTGCCACCAGAAATTCCGCCGGGAAGATTGGTGTGTGGTCTTACCGGAAAGGAGACACTCAGTCTGGGAAGGCAGACAAATAGTTGACCTTTGCCTTGTGATCAAACGTATCCGAAGGGTCCCCTCTGGGCCCGCGTCTGAGGGTGGCGTCCGGGTTTCCGACGCAGCGACACAGCATCGTCCAGCCACGCTCAGTGGCACCCGCCAGTCTCCCCTCCTCTTCAGGCTCCCGCCCCCTCCACGTGCCCGGCGTGGCTCCCAGTTGTGTGGAGCGTGGACACTGTGGAAGAGAGCCTGCGAGAGGCCCCCTCTTCCCAGCCGTGGGCCTCGCTGGGATGCGCCAAGTCTACTTTCTGGCGGCTTCAGCACCCCTTGGCCGCGTCTACCACACACAAATTGTGCCACATTTGTGCACAAAGAGAACGAATGGCTTTTGTGTCTTCTCACTGGAGAAAGTCAGGGGTTGGCGGAAATTAAACTTGACTATTCACTGCAAAGCCGCCTGACCCGTGTCTTCCGTTTCCCCCGTCACATCCACCCCTCCGCCCGCCCACATGGCTCCTTCGGTGTCGCAGGGCGGGCACTCTGAACGCCGACTCGGTCGGTGTCTCCCCGGTTGCTAAGCCCGCCGGTCAGGCTCCAGCCCCGAGGTCGTCGGTCTTCATGACACACCTGACATCTTCCCAGGTGCTGTGATGGGTCCCTTCTGCTCAGCTCCGCCCGGCGTCCTTCACGGCCTTCCTCCTAAATGCTCACATTCCCCGAGTTCCAAGCTCGGCCTTCTTTCCAGCACGCGTCCCGGAGGCACCCCCAGTGCTTGCTGAGAGCTCCTGGGCCCGCGGCTCTCTCCCCCCTCGCCCTCCCCACTCTGGACCCCGTCGTGTGTGTTTAACAGATTCGCTCAACCAACCTATCAACAGCCACGCGAGGCTCCCAGATTGTAATGAAATTCATTAATTAAAGACCCAAAAGGCTTTAGGACGCCTTGAAACAGAACCTGTTTTATCTCCTACTTTCAGGTATTTCCCCGTTTCGTTCACGTGTGACACGAGTTTTCTCCGTGGCTGCCGCGTCCAGGCACCGTGTGTAGGCTGAGTTTAACGTCGGCGGGAAGGGATAGAAACGAGTTTTTCTTTGCTCAGTTTTGTTCGGGTGGTGGCTGCTCTGGACTGATCTGGACTATAGATGAGGAGAGGTGCTGGGCTCCCCGTTTTAAGTCTTGAATTTGAAGGGACGGCGGGGTTGTCAGTGAGCCTCTGGAGCCCACGGGTGGTGTCAGAGCAGGAGAGGTGGTCTCGGGAATAATCAGCCCACGAGTGCGCATCTAGATCCGGTACATTCGAGCCGAAACTCACGGTCTAACAGACTCAGGGGTCTGCTTCTGTTGGGAGGACCCTACGAGAAAGACCGTCTTCCTTACCTCTAGAATTTCTTTACTCTCTATTTTCTGACATCGTTACTCAGATGAAAAGATCTCTTCTGAGTTATTCATTTGTTCAATGCATATTTATCGAGAGCCAGAAAAAGTGACAACCCCTGAGCTCGTCACTGGGCATAATGTAGTGACCAAGATAAATACGGGCCTTCCCCCCGAACGTTCAGTCCACGTGGGAGCCAACTGTCAACCCAACAGTTGTGCAGGGATTTTCAGCCAGAGGCGCGTGAGCTCCGGAAAGCCTCCGCTAACAAAGTAAACAGCAGAAGCCGACTGGCAGCTACAGAGAACAGGCCGACGGCTGCGGGGGGCGGGGGCGCTGGGCGAACAGGTGAAGGGATTAGGCAGCCCAGGCTGGTAGCTAGGGAACAGCCGCCGAAACGTGGACCCCAGCGTAGGGAACATGGCCACTAGCATCCAGGTAAATACGTGCGGGGCCAGGTGGGCGCTCGAAGCAGCGGGGGACCACTGTGTACAGTACACGGTTTTCTACTCACTCTTGCTGAACCCCTGAAACTCATACAGAATGATATTGAATGTCACCCCCAGGTGTGCAGCGCAGTCCAGAACCAGGACTTCACGGTGATCGGCGACTACTGCACCGGCCTCCGCGCCCTGCTCTACCTGAGGAGCCTCGAGGAGCTGCGGGACTGGGACGGACAGAGCCCCGCCACCCCGCGCCACCAGAAGGGGAAGCCGGTCCCTCGCATCCAGGAGCTCACGGGAAAGGTAGGCGGTGCCCACGCCTCTCCAGGAGGCCCTGCGGCCTGCGCCGGCTCCCTCCCGCCGTCTCGCCCGCAGAAAACCCGCGCCCGGGGGTGTGGCGTCCGTGGTAGAATCAGGCCGACGGAGCCTGAGTCCAGCTACACGGTGGGCCCATGACTCACCCGTTTATAAAACCAATAATGCAACACAAGGTCCTATAAAAGAAACAGGTGGGGGGGGTGTAAAATGCCCCCAAACCTGCGCTGTGGCGATGACAAGGGCCGTTCCCTCCCGCCGGAGGCTGGGGGGTTGATTCTTTAACAAGCTCTGGAAATGGTAACATTCCCTCTCTGCGTTCGAGATAATCAAATCGTGGGGCCTGGAGAATACGATGAAGTCTTTAAAATGAAAAGCGAATCCGTGTCCTTGTAGCTGCTTCTGCCGTGTGTCGAAAGCGAGGCCCCAAAGGCTACGTCCCGGCTTCCTCCCTAACTGGTATTTTCCGAGAAACGTGCGCCGCGTTTACGGTTCGCATGATACGGTGGTTTTAGCGAATCTTTTCTGAAACAACATTCAGCTCTTTGCCTTTGTGTTTTCTTTGTATTTTTCTAAATAGACAACCATTGTCAAAAGGCATTTCTCCAGCCCCGAATGAGGGGAGGAAGAAATTATAACTCTTCGTCTTTTCAGCTTGTCACCACATCAATAATTAACTCTAAAAAAAGGGAAGCAAGTATAAAAAGATTCTTTAAGGAAGCATTTAATAATTCAAATGAATCGTAGCTTGAAACGGGTCCCATGAAAAAGAATAGAAAATAAGAACCCTGGCGATCCTGCCTCGGAGGGCAGGGCTGGGGACGCCGGGAACCAGAGAAACGTCGTGGAGCTGACTTCCGTCTGACCCACTTTCACGGAAAACGTCGCTGCTCCTCTCCTAGCCCAAAATAACGACTTCCTGAAGAACAGCGTGTGTGGTTGCAAGTAGGGCAGTGAACCCAAAGGGGGGAGAGACGAAGCCCTGCGGTGTGGGCTCCGGGAGGGTGGGGTGCCGAGTGACCCCGCGAGCGGCAGTCAGACAGAAAGGCTGGGGGACGTCCGTGTTTATGGTGTTCATGGTGCTGTGTTAGCCAGGCGGCGCCCAAGCAGCCCTGTTAGTGGAGCTGATCATGTGGCCGTAAGCTCAGCCTGCAGTGTTTCGAGGGTGCGTGTTCTTGCCTTTATCAGTGACCGTCGGGATCCTGAGGTTGTTCACAACTAAAAAAAAAAGTGCACGCATAGGCCTGGACCAGCAGAGGGGTGGGGTCCCTGAGCGATGCCCGCAGGGGCCTGGACCGGCAGAGGGGTGGGGTCCCTGAGCGATGCCTGCAGGGGCCTGGACCGGCAGAGGGGTGGGGTCCCTGAGCGATGCCCACAGGGGCCTGGATACAGGACGGCAGGTTCCCAGTGTGACTCTCGGCCTCCCGAGTGTGGAGCAGGGACAGCTTGTCTGATCCGGGAGCCTGGGGAGCATCTGGGTCTGTCCCCTGCAGCTGCCTCATTGATAAAATGTAAACCACGTAGCACTGTTGCGGGGCTGCCAGCATCCCATCACGCTTTCAAAACGATGACTTCTCACTTCTCCTTGTTCGTAAAACCGACATCTAATTGACAAGCACAAATGCCATTATTTCCTTTGTCATTTTCGTGAAAGTGAGTGCTTTAAAGTATAATTCATCAAATATACTACTTTAATCAAAATGCACCTTATTAATATTAATTCTATATTAGAACTTGTATAAAAGTGCTTTCATCTTCAGCATAACTTACCCACATTAAGTCTGTTGTTACTTTTAAGGTGGGAAAGTATATGCTGTTTCTTGCTCTGGATGGAGACTGAGGCTTATAAAGAAGCCATTGCCAGGGCATGTGAGATAAAATTTGAATCCCGGTCCTGTCCTTGACCCCACCCCCTGTCCTCCCTCCTCAGAGCTCTGCAAAGCCAGCGACGCTCACTGCAAGCCGGTTAGCTTTGTTCCTAATCCTGATTTTATGGGGAAAGGCAAAATCCTTCTGTAATTCTGAGCTCTGCCCTGAGATTCTCCGAGAAAAAAAAATATGTATTTGTTATATTTCTGCCTAAGCCCATCTGCCCACTTGAATAAAAGGAGCATTAGGTAAAAGATCATAATTTTCTGGTAATTCAAGGTGTCAAAAGAGTCATTTTGATAATGTAAAGAGTCAACAGAAACTCCAGATATATTCAGCTCCATGCCAACTCGTCCTCTCTGAGATCTGAGAAAAAACTAAATGTCGACTATTTGAAATTAAAAATGGGATCTGATTTTTTAAAAACAAACAAACCATAATTAGGTTTTTTTTGGCTTTCAAACCTTATGGATCATAACTGCTATTGAACAGTTTCACAGAAAGGCTGGCATCCTAGGCAGCCTGGGCCGAGCTAGCCCCAGCTGCAGGCCAGCCGGCAGTGTCGCGGTTTCCACGCAGCTCGCGCGCCCGGAGGGAAAGCCATCCCTGGCCTCTTCTCCTTAGAAACCCGGTTGCTGTGTGGTTGCCCATAGTGATCTAGCCAACCACCTGATCGCTAACTGTTCCCCCTGTTTTATGCTGTACAGACACTGGGAAGCAGCTGTGTCGGGTCTCGACCCCTAGCCTGTAAGAGCGTGTGCTCAGGGTCGCAGGTGACCCCAGCCAGGGGCCCGAGGAGCTGTGACTGACACCCACCGGCACAGGGGACCCTGCGGCCACGGCTCCGGGCGCTGTTGATGAC